GACAAGCCCTGGCAGCTCCAAAGACAGACTTGCCACTGGAAAGCCTGGGACAATCAGGAATGGTGGTAATGCATTTCAGAAGAAAGGAAAAAAAAACCTGTTATTGTGCCATTGTAATTGCCAGGGAAGAGTGGGGGGAGAACATGGGGGAGGAACAGCTCTGCAAACACCAAGGTCAGTGGAGAAGGCAGGGCAGGAGGTGCCTCGGAGCTGGGATTCCTCTGCAGCCTGTGGTGAGACCACGGTGAGGCAGCTGTGCCCTGCAGCCCATGGGGATCCATGGCGATGCAGAGATCCATGGGGATGCAGAGATCCACCTGCAGCCCACGGAGGAGCTGTGGGGGCCTGAGAAGAGGCTGTGACCCTGTGGCAGGCCCATGGAGAGAGGAGCCCAGGCTAGAGCAGCCTGTCCCTGAAGGCCTGCACCCCACACAAGAGTGACCCCACGCTGCAGTGCCCTAGGGAGGACTGCTGCCCACGGCATGCACTCACACTGCTGCCCACGGCATGCACTGACACTGCTGCCCACGGCATGCACTCACACTGCTGCCCATGGCATGCACTGACACTGCTGCCCACGGCATGCACTGACACTGCAGCAATTTGCAGCAGCTGCTCATGAGATGGACTCAGGCTGGAAGTTTGTGGAGAACTGTCTCCTGTGCGAGAGCCCCCACAGTGGCATGGGGAAACAACTCCTGCCTGAGCAACCAAAGAAACCACAGGTGATGAAGTGACCATAACCCCCATTCCCTGTCTCCTTGCACTGCTGGAATAGGAGGCAGAACTGGGAAGGAGCAAGGGGTGGGGGAAGGTGCTCTTAAGGGCTCATAATCCTTCTCTGATTTGGTTAGTGTAATAAATTCAATTAATACACATGGGCCTGTATTGCCCATGGTGTTTGATGAGTGATCTCTCCCAGTCTATATCTCAACACATGAACCCTTCATTACATTTTCTATTTCCTGTCCCACTGGGAAGGGGAGTGACAGAGTGAATTGGCATGCACCTGGCATCCAGCCAGCATCAGCCCACTACAGAAGTAAATCCCATGGTTTTGTTTTCCTTTAGCTGTGGTGGAGCAGGAGAGGACTCCATTTTCCTGCCTCTACTGCACTAACAAACAAGGCACTATGAAGTATCTCTGTATCTCTGACTCACCTTTCCAGGGCAATCACATTGATAAAACATACCACTGGCCATCACTATGAAAAGCAAAGTTTGCTCTTACAGAAGCTGTTATACTCCCTTACTCACAGGGAAGACTCTCTAAAGGTCCCCTTGCTCTGTGGCTGTGTTGTGACCCACACTTACAGATTCTGATGTCAATGTGGGTACCTTGTTTCCAATCTCTCCAATCAGCTCATGGACTCCTCCATTCCCAGATCACGCAACCTTCTCACTGACTCTGGGCTTTTTGTTCCAGCCTGTCCCACTTATTCTCTTTTCACATTCACACTGATGCCTGGTCCCATACTATTCTGGCTCCTCACAGCTTTATTCCACCCAGGGCCCTTTTCCTTGCTGTCACCTCCTCCAGGATGTCTGCATCTATGGTCATGGCAAGGGCTATTTTCTTGTCTGCAGGAAAAGTACAGCAGCCCCTTAAATGAAGTCTTCCAAGGACAGAAAAGCCTAATGGCTGATCTTTTTGCCTGAGACATTTCTGCTAAAAGAATAAACAGATAAAGGCACACAAAAATGCAATTTCACATGGAAAATGCTGGAGATGTTGCTGCTATGTCTTAGCTCATTTAGAATTCCAGCTTAAAAATGTAGAAATGGTAAAGGGAATCCCTCCCCTCTCTGCAATTCATTTGGCACCAAAGGTATGTAAGCTAAAATAACAAAATAGAAATGCACCTGTAAACCAGAGAAATTTGCAACTGATGCACAAGAGACAAAGCAAACCTCTCCTGGAAGGTTCTCCATACCTCAGATAATGTAATTTAAATAACAAAACAGCCTTTTTTTGAAGCATTTTAGTTCACTATGGAATTTGCCACCTTGACAGCAAGGATCCCTGACAGGACAGTAGTGACAGCAAAAGCCACGGTGCCTCATGCACCTGCACTTTTTTCTTGAACAGTTCAATAGGACAACACACTATGTGACAACACTAAATGTACCTTCATCCACTGCCAGGACTGCTCCAGGCATCAGCAATATGAATCCATTAAATAATGTCAAAACCATTGTATTTGAGACAGTTCTTCAAAACAAAGATTAGTTCTTGTTGGATTTCTAGAAATTTAATAACATTCCATTCCCACTCCCTTGACTGCAGTGATGTTTATCACAGAACTGCTGTAATGTTTTTAGCATAGCTCCAAATTATTGTGGTTCAAACATACAGTAAATGTTATACAACAAGGCATTTTGGAGCATTTTAAAAGACATGCAGATCATGGAAATGATGCAGTAACCTGTTTGCATAGTGCTGCGACATCTGTCTTAGACTCCTGAAAAGCTGACATGGATCCTCAAGGGATTTCCTTGATTAAAAAACATTAATTAATTGAGTGAACATCTGTGCTGTTTTCCAGCTAGTAACTAAAATTAGCTGGGCATTGTAACCTCCTTAAAAGTGAAAAGTATACAGAATAAGTGCCGCCCACTTTCTCACACTTGGGTAGGGCCAAGAAACTTTTTGCAGCAGCATTTACCGTAACGGATCCTGAGAGATTTTTATACCCTTGTGGTGGAAATTTTCTTCCTGACTAGCCTGAAAACAGGAACATTTTATTCTTGGCTTCACACACTAACATATTAACCATGACAGTGCTGACATTTGTTGCTAAGTAAAATTGATCGTAAATGGTCTAGAAAGCTGCCATTACATTCAGAAATTACTTTTAGAGTTTGAAATTAAGTACTGTCAACACGACTCATGTTTCCATTTATACACAAATTTGACAGGAATTTTTATGGCTTCACATAGAAAAGAAGAAGGGAGATAAGACTAATTATTTTAATTGCTCTCAAACTGTATTACATAAAGCAACTGACCTATATGGTATCATGAGAGCTCAAGGACTATTCAACAGGACAGGCTAGATGAGAAAAAGTCATGTTATACATGGAGATGAGACATTGCTTCATCCCCCTTCCATTTTCCAGTGCAAACCATGAAGTCAGAATTCACCCAGGCTCATCCTTTTCCTCACATGGGAGATATTCTCAGTTATTTAAACACAGCTTTATTCCCTGAAATCAAGGGAGGGAGCCACTGGTATGCACAATGAGGTGGAGATTATCAGGAAAAATGAGATTTCACTGCAAGTGACAGAAGCCAACTGTGAGTATGGAAACTGCAAGTATCAGATGACTCCAAAAGGGACCATCTCCGAAGGTAGATTCACTTAAGCTGCTCTTAATAGCAGTGCAGACACTTAGTCTAGAGGTATCAATGCAAGAACCAGTCTAGAATTAGTACAGGAGTGCTCAGACATGTAATGTTAGGCTGCAGTAAGAATTGGTGGTTTCATACAAATATCACAGGTATTTGTAAAATTTTCAGAGACTTACAGAAATATTTATTTCCAAAGAGCATATGGAATGACTCTGCACAGTGACTGTACCCAGACACTACTTTTCAGTGTTCTGACTTAATTGTGTGCTTTTTCTCTTAAATTTTCTCATGCATTTTCTCATAAATGACTTTACAAGATTGGGTGGTTCAGAGACAGGAAATATCTTGGGACATTTTCTTTTGTATCCACTAATTGCAGATTTTCCACAGTGATTTCCTTTCTGATCCCTGCTTAGGAAACAAAATAATGGAAGCCTGTGAATTTCTCTTCAAGGCAGGCTGGACATGTCTCTGCCTCATAACTCCTCACCTGTATCTGGTTTCTCCATGGAGAAGAGGACCAGGAAGAGGTGCCCTAGAGCACCCAGCTATCAGCATCTTGGGACAGAGCATGGGGCAGGCAGCACCTGGAACCTATATGGTTCCCTCACAGGGCTCTCCACTACAGAAGTGATCAGCTATGGGCACCCTAGCTGGACCTGGGCCTGGAATCACTTGAAATTTCCATAGAAGCAGGAAAATTAAGCTGGGAATTCATCAGACCTTGCTTGCTCTGGTGTCACAACAACAATTATGATCTTATTTAACCTATTTTCCTCTTCTTCCTACTCAAGTGTTTCATTGTCACAGGTGTTCCAATAACACAAATCTGGCAATCACATTCTGTCTGGAATAAAATTGTTTCCCCCTCTTCACAGTGCAGTGAACTGAAATAGTAATGAAAGATTAAAAAATAATCTATTTGCTGCCATGATATCATTCCTTAGGCTGACCTACTTTCTTTGGGCAGTAAATACAATTTTTGTGCTACCTGGTCCAACTTCAGCCCAGTATTAAACTGGTGCAAAAACTCTGCATATAGGGAAAAAGAATTTGTCAGTGCCAGATCATAGCTTTCCACAAAAGGGGCCTTTTTCTCCTGTCTGAGAGGCTTATGCTCTGAAAACTTAGCACAGCATTTGTAGACTGCAATCAAGAGCCTCTAAAAGAACTACTCAAGTTTGACAGCTTACACTCTCCTAGTAACTGCTGTTTATACTGTTCCTGGGAAGCAAGGAATCTATGGTGGCTGCTGAGAAAGGGCCATCATTCATACCACAAGGTATTCAGAGCTGAAAAACCCACAGGTAGCAGGATTCATGGAGGGGACAGCCAGGAGATGTACCTCAGATGGCTTCTCCCCACATTACAGAGTGCACAGAGATGTCCTGGAGACTATGGCATCACTGAGTCTTTCTGGAGAGAGGACATATCTCAGAGAATGTATGACTACTTCAACAGTGAAGTAAAAATAAAAGCTGAGGCTATTTGGGAAGTGTGTGCATACATAAGACGCCAAGCTTGAAACAAGCATTGGGGAAAAAACCCCATAATCATAGCCACAGATTTGATCATCACTCTGATTCATAAAAAAATGGTCTGTGTCACAAAGAAAACATGACAGTGCACATAATGATGAAACACTTACCCTGGAGTCCTTTTCCAGACGAAGCTTGTGTTGAAGGCTGCGTCTTCTCCTGGCTTTAGCAAGACCATTGTGATAAAAAAAGTATCCAGATTCTAAAAAAGGGAGCTGAGGAAGAAGAGAGGAGAAAAAAAAATAATGGAGCTATTGGCTGTTAATAAGGTTGACAAGAAAACTTCTACCTGTGCAGTGATTTAGGAATCTACAACAAGACTTGTGAAGAGTTATACCAAAGAGCCCAAATCACTCCTGAGAATGCCACTTTTAAGTTATTTTTGAGAAGGGCACCAGCAGTATTGAAGTTGTTTGCTACAGGTTTACAGTGCATAAATTCACTTGGATGCACTTGGTGCTCTTTCCACCTTACATTTAAGGTCAACAGTGCCAATATTTCTGACAGGCACCCCAAATCACAAGAGGAAGAATTTCTTATTTCCTGAAAAAGCCATAATAAAAGAAAAAAAATTAATTGCAAAAGATTTGAAACTCCAGAGAGCATCCAAGAGAGCCTTACGTAAATGCTTTGCTGAGCTGTTGTAACATACCCAAACTGATGGAAGGCAGAAAGCAAAGAGATTTCCACTTTCAGAAAAATACAATACTTGGAGTTTCTTCTGAGCACCCCAAAATGGAACATACAAAACATATTAAGAAAACAGACAAGTCAGTGTTCAGGTGGGAACAGTGTTCTGCACCTTTAATGTCCAAGACATTTAAGGAGCAAGCAAACACCTCTGCAGAGCTTCCCATTATTAAATGCATTTCTCTCCTCAGGACTGGCAGAGAGCAACTGGAAGGCTCACAGACATTTAGCTTTCAGAAGGTTAAAAGACATAGTGTTGGGAGAACATTATCCCATTTCCAGCACTTAATTAGGAAGCTCCACTTGAATCTCAAATGATCAGTTCTTTCCCCATTTGAACTTAATAGGGACATTCCAGTTGAACATTTAAATCTAAGCAACTAACTGCACATTTTTAAACTAAGCTAGTCCTTGTAAAAGTTGAAAAAAATGGTTGGAAAGTTACACATTACTGCTATGAATACTTCAGCTTCAAAGGCTTGACTACCCTGCATGTAAAATACCTTTTTAAAAGAGATATTCTAGAACAGCTATGACAGCCTGTTCCTCTCCTTTTCATTATCTATACTTCATGATAACATAAACATCTTAGCAGGAGTTCAAAGTTCTTTACTGAAATACCAAGGCTGATGTCTAGATAGAAAAAATGTTGAGAGAACCTGGGCTGAATACAGGTAGCAGCATCATGCTGCCATAAAACAGATTCTGTTCTTGTATACACATATATACAGTGCATAAATATAAATTACCTTCTATGAAATTACCTCCTGTTTCAGTCAATCTATCAGTATATCTGGTACACTTCCACAAACATAGTTTGTACATGGAAAGCAGAGTGGAAATAGAAGATAGTGAATTCTGAAAGTTAAAAATCCAGTAATTCCAAAAACGAGTATGCAAGTTTGGGTTTTCTTTTTCTACAAAGTACTTCTTTATGCTAATTGAAACATTTACTATCAATGAAATGAAAGTGTTTACTTTTCATGTTAAAATTTCATTCTGTATGATATACAAGCATGAAGTAACTTTAAAAAAATCAAAGCATTCTGTTCTGATAAAAAACCTCTTTTAAAGTGATTCTAAAAGGTTCATCAAAATCATTATGGTTCCCTGGAGCTGATCTGCATGGCTGACTGGAAAGCTTTTCTGGGTGAATAATCATAATATTTAGCTTCAGCTCCACACACCTGTGAAAAATACAACAGCTGAGGTAGAAGGAGAAAAAATACTATGAAAGCTCACAGTAAAGGCCACCAAAGTCTCCTGCTCTTCATATATATCCTCAGAGTCAGAGCTCTGAAAGTTCAAATTCTGTCTGGGTTTAGGTAATTGTTATAAAAAGCAGATTTACATTTAAACTTGTATCTGACATCTTTACCAACTGGGTGATCAGCTATTTACATAATCCAGAGTTTGGTAATAGATCTGGGTCTCCAGGAAAAGGCCCTTCCCCCACACTTAATACCTTATGCCTCAAAAACATGCAGGGGAAAAAAAATCTAAATAGGCAGATTAGTTACAGCTTGAAATCCATCCTGGTGTGCTATCCATTACCGTCCTTTGCTGTCTGTGGCCCACTTAGCCTTCTAATTCTCTCCATGAAATCAGGCTACTTTTCTTCCTTTTACTTCAGTGTCAACCATTAAAATCAAATCCAGTCAAATACTGATCTTGATGTTCTTCCATTAAATATTAGTCTAAGCAATTTTGAAGATATCTGGAAATATATAAAAACAGATATTTGCTGTTTATTTTCCATATAAAGTTAGTTTCTAATACCTCTTAGCATGAAGCAATATTGCATATAGCAAATTTTTAAAGCTGGTGTATTCAAGTTTGACCATAAGCAATTACAATTAGTACAACAATGACCAGATTTATGGACAAGGTCATAAGATTGACTAAGATTATTCCACTCTTTCCACAGTTATCCCAGTAATCTTTGAGGAACTTGGATATTTTACAGTTCACATGGTTTTTCACACCAGATCAATTAAACCCAGAGGGAGACACCTAGGAAGGCAGCTCAGTGAGGCAATACCTGAAAGATTATGTGATCCAGCACTGTGGATTGTGAATAATTAATAGCAGAAACCAAGCAATTTTCATTAAGAATCTAAACCATGCACTAAATCCTTGTAATCTACAAATATATATTTGGGAGAAATCAGACACCAGGGAAAGGACCTAAAATGTCGTCAAGCTTTGAAGAGGATTTTGCACTGAGATCTGTGAATACCACAAAAAATGACTGACACTTTCCATTCTGAGGGACTCCTGCTACCAGGAGGCCAGTAACTTATTGGCCCCAGCCAAATGGAGGACACAGGCAGCTCACAGGAGGATTTACATTCCCACTATCAGCTACTCCAGGAAGCGTCTTTTGATTTGGAGCCACAGCAAATGAAAATACTGAAATGAACAGTGCAAATAATGAAGTGAAATGAAAACAGATCTCCTGTGCATAAAGACTTCGAAGTGCCATCAGCAGTATCTGCTCTGTAATGCTGTAGCTGTAAAGTTGGAATTGTTATGGAGTAAAATTCCTATTCTGGCAGCAGCAGGCTCAGCATGTACCATGGAGCAATAATGTACTCAGCCTGGTGACTCAGGTTATTTTTGTAAGACAAAAGCAAAGCTTCCTGCCCTCAAAAAAACTTAGCAATTAAGTAAGATAACTAATTACTGGAAAGCACTTTAACATTCAAGTGAGGAGGATTACTTAGAATTAGAAATAGGCCTAGTTATTGCCTTGATGTATAAATATTGTCTATTACAAGGCACGACTGCCAGAATCTCAGGAATTACAAGCACTTCATTACTTGCAATAGTTGTATAAAAGTACTGGTGGAAAATGCATATAAACAAAACCAGAATCACAAATACAAAACAGCAAGTAGAGCAAAACATTTTATATCCACCTGTCTCCTTCTTTTCTTCATATCTGAAGTCTCCTTGTGGTTATTAATAAACACTTTCTGAAGCAAAAATGAAATGTGTTTAACCCTTTTCCTGAAGGATGTGGACCAGAAAATAACTTTTAAAAATTCAGTGAGCAACTAAATGCAGCAAAGAAAAACTCTTTCAGTGGAAGAGGCTTAACTGAAAGTAAAATAGACTTGATGATCTTAGGGTCTTTTCTGACCTTAACAATCCATGATTCTATGAAAATGGCTAAAATGCAGCATTTGGTATGGAAAGAAGCAGGAAAGTTTCCTATTGTCCACAGTTTTATCACCAGTATGTCTGAGGTATCTTAGCTGTTCTCAGGCTACTGCTGAACCACAGAGGTTGAGGTGTAATTATTACTGAAATAAAAATGAGTAAGTTAAATTCATGGTTCTCAACCTTTCTGCACTCTCCTCCTCACAGTCTTTCCCCAGAAAGAAAAGGGAGTGACTCTGTGCTGCCCTGGATGCCACTGCTGGGAAGAAGGGCTGTAAACACACAGCTCCAATTCTCCCCTGCCAGGCCCAAGCATTGCTCCTGAGAGATGCCATTCCCTGGTACTAAAAGGGAGAAAAAGACAGTCCACTGCTGAGCCCTCAACTGCTCTGAGCTGGAAAAATCAGGTATAAAGTAAAGCCTGTTCCTCAGAGACACCTGATCTAGGATGGGGCAGCACACAGAGATAGCTCCCCAGAGCTGATGGCTCCCATCCCATCTTGTCTACTTGACAGAGAAAATCAAACTGCTTTTCTTTCTTGGTCTTGCCTTGAACCATATGCACAGTTACACCAGTTGCAGTTTTGCCTGTCACAAAGCAAAGGAAATCAATATAAGCTGCAAAGCAGTGTGAAAGTTTAAAGAAAAGCCACAGAAAGACTAAAATCAGATACTGTTTCTCATTCTAAAACTGCAGGAAGTGAGACCACCTTGGGCAGAGCTAACACAGAAAACAAGCATCACCATCTCCTACCAGAAAAGCCCATCTAGCAAAGGTATTATGAAGCAGCAATAAATTCTTACGAAAATTCCCAAGTCTAATTTAGTTGCCAGTGGCATCAGTACTTTATCTGGCTCTTAGGGAGAGGTCCAGCATTCACAGTCTGTCACTAATTTTAAGAGGTAATATAGAATACAAAAATAAAGATGAACATTGGATCCAAGGCTTATCTTTAATATAAAATTTTACTGGCTCCTTGTCTTTAACATTGCATTTTACTGGCTCACTACAGAGCTCTACATACATTATGGTGCCCACAAAAAGCTTAAGAACAGCCTGGATTGCCCCCTCTTATTTTAATGGGAATTATCACTGCTCAGCCTTCCCATGCTGCCTTTCACACTGTTTCAGATAATGCAGAATCCCTACAGCACTCTGCTGACTTATATGCATAATTTCCAATGATTTCTCCCCAATACTGTCATATTCTAAAACCAGTTTATTTTCATCTTCTGTTAAGTTACTAATGGGAACAACAGACTGCAACAACTTTTTTTTGAGCAAAATCATTTATAAATACAAGAAGGTAAATTTATAGCAAGTTACCACCTTCTTTGGTCACTAAAATCAGCATAAATG